TTTATGTGGTCGATTGGAATTTAATTGAAACATCCCATTGATCCATCATACATTTTACTAATAAATCTGCTTACATTAACATTTAAAAAAAAAAACTCCAAGAAACAACTGTTCTAAAAAAAGTCCTCACTGTCCAATGATAATTTCTAAACAAGGAAATTTAAAAAAACACTTAAAGCACCATTTCAAAGACATCAATGTCAAAAACAGAGTTGCTAAAATCAGGCAATTTTACTTCTACGTTGAAAATAAATCTATTTTCCCCCGCAGACTTTCAAAACATTAGAAGGAAAAAAAAAAAAAAAACATGGAAAACAGGCTTCTTTAAAAAACAAAGTGATTTTATTCATTGTCAAGAGGACAAATCAGTGGTGGATGAGAAACAGATGAGGCAAGAGATGGAAATGTAATATTGCCCCTATTTTATTATAATTAGATATTTATAGAGCACAGATGAGTTTATTTTCATAATTAGTAGCTGGCATTGCATTTACTAATTTGCATAAACAGTTGGCTATCAAAACAGTAACTTCTTTGCGGGGCTCTCTGGTCCTAGCAGGGACAAGAGAGGGCTCAACTCTTCAAATCAGCTTTCTTAATGTTATTACCAGCAAAATACAATCTACATGAAACCACATTTGAGTTCATGTAGCTTGATTAGCTCTTTCCAGTTTGGCCAATATTGATTAGTTCAGCCTGGAAGGCAAATGATCAAATCTACATGGGGAAAAATACGTGCAAATAAATTGGAAAAGGACTTTAGTTTCCGACAGATTAAAGTAGATCTTAGGGTCAACACTATCTAGTCCAGTAATAATACATTAATAAATGTAAAGCAAAAGGATAAAAAGTAAATGCCCCCCGCTGCCCTTGTAATTTAAAAATCATGCCACTTCTTGGTCATTGTTGCAGGCTGTTACCTCTCTTCTTGGTCATTCTCAGCATTTGCCATACCCTCCGCAAGCATGCCTACCCTACTTTACAAAACCAACTTCACCCAACACATGGATCGGGCTTCCTGGCAGTAGTGCCAAGGGTAGGAAAGATTCCTGTGCCCTGACCACTGCTCCAGGCAAAGAGAAATTGAATCAAGCATGCTGCCAATGACTACTTCCCACTATTGACATTCAGCAAGAAATCTTGGAGGAATACCTTACTCCTTCTTCCTCAAGCCAAAGGTCAAAAGCTTGTAGCTTGTGGCCTATGGTGTGTTCATACATACATACATACATACATACATAAAACAAAAGATGCCATGAACTGACATTTTTAGAAAATCCACTCTGGCTCTTCTTGAGGATCTGGTGACACTGGGCATGCATTCTTCGTGGCAGCAATCAGCTGGAACAGAGTAGAGGCTGCTGCCCTTGACAGGATGTGTGTGCCTCAGTTTACCATGGTCCCCACCACTCTCTATTGGTGATCTTACACGAGGATTTTTCTTACCTGAGATGTGCTCCTTGATGATACCTATCAGGCCCCTGTTGACATTTGAGTCTGCAACACCTACCCCAAGTTCAGTTTCAAGGAAAAGTATTTGGTGACCTAACCCAGAATGGGCAATCCCTAAGTCAATAAGAAAAGGAGGATAGAAGCTAAAACACACTCAACATTTAAACAAAGACTGTCAAAATCAGGTCAAAAAAGCTGACCAAGGCGGGTTGCTGAGTACCTCCTCTGGTCAGCCACTTCCAGGTAGTCACATTTGCTTTTGGCTTGGTGTAGCCCAAAGGCCTCCTTCATGAATGTGGTGATTATCATTATAGCCTATACATATGCACATACTTCCTGCTCAGGCTTGTAGATTTCACTTTATGTTTCTTTCCATGGTAGGTTCACTGCTTTGCTGCTCAGCTTTAAAGAATGACAAGATCTGGGGCTTTCTTTTCTCTGACAATCTCCTAAGAATAAATCCAAAGACCTTTCCCGCTTTTATTCTGATATAATCTGTGACCATTTCCCTCTGTCACTTGTACACACAGGGCAAGAGAAGGCCTGAGTGAGGAGAAAACTAAAACCAGAGAATTTGGTCTCACTCCATGACCCACTGGGGCTTCTTTGCTCAGTTCGTTGGGGGATAATGAGGCTAGATAAGGGGCACAGGTTGGTGTACAACTCTGGACCAAATTCTGAGCTCAGTGTGGTGTGGACGACAGAAATGGCCAAGACGCAGCCTCGTCCTTTTGGGAGAAGCTGCCTGAAACACATGAGTAAATCGGATTCGAGGCAGTTTGGCACAGGTACTCTATAACAGAAGCACAAAGTCTGGCACACCTAGGAGGCTTGGCTTTCAAGGATGACAAGGAGAGGAAGGGTGTTCCAAGGACATTCAAGAAAGAGGACAGAGCTCAGGCCAAAGACTGAAGGCAGGAAACCATAATGTGGATTCAAGCAGAGTGAGTTGTTGATTTCAGGAGACAGGGGGCTGGCAGGGGTGATAGTGTGGAGTGGAAAATATTGTAGAAAATAAAGCTGGGGAAGCACATGGACAATTATACAATGAGAATCCTTCAAAAGCTTTTGAACGGATGAGCTACATGATACGATTTAATTTTAATTTTGCTTTATTTTCACTTTTAGGATGATGACTGACAGCAGGCTAAGAAGGATTAGAGATTTTGAGTCCCTTCCACCTGCAACCTACAAGGCTAGACACATCTGGACATTAACAAATGAATATGCTTGTCTTCCACATACTTGCCCATCCTGTACAGTGGAGTGGCCCAATTCCCAAATAACTTTAATATAAAATATTAGAGAGATACATGAAGTGCGAGCTCATCTCTGAATGCAGCACTCAAGGATCGCATCAACTAGGAAATCAAATCTATGTGTGATTTCAATGGGCAGAACAAAGGGGAGGAGGAGTGGTCACAGGGGAGAGAAAAAGTAAAACTAGGAGACAAGGAAAGGCCCAGGAAGGTTATCCAGCATCCTATTTGGAAGCAATTTTGCATCTAAGATTAATAGGAGAGAAGGCTGAAGGTACATAAGGCCATATTAGGGATGACTTTGAAAGTGAGATAGCTAATCCTGCACTCCATGTGGTGGACAGCAGAGCTTAAGCAGTTCTCAGTTACTGGACAGCCTGGAAGAGAATAGAGGCAGGAGAACTAATTAGGCTAGGGCAATAGTCTAATAAGGGCTATGTGGGGACTGAACGAGGGTGTTAACAGTAGAGTATGCACTGGACATTCCAGAGGAGAATCTCAGTAAGATCTCTCAACTGTTCACCCAGGGCACAAAAAAGTTCAGGAAGGATAGAAAGCAATTCCTGGTTTTTCAAGTCTGGGTGATGAGGAGGACAGGAGCACCATGAGTTAAAATAGGGACATCACCAAGGGAAGATGATATGAAGGTTGACTTTAGACGTCCCGAGGTCACAGTAGTGGGATATTTATACGGACGTGTGTTACAGAGAATGAAAAGCGGCAGGCTGGAACTTGAGACAGGTCCGTGCCAGGGAAGGAGTTGGGAGGCACATCCATGGAAGGCATCCTCAGATCCAAGACAGGCAGTATAAGCAGAGGTTAGGGGCCCAGATTCTGGGTTTTATTTCCACTTAGTAGCCAACTGACAAAGGCAGTTTAGCTCTCTGAGCCTTGTTCTATTTATCCATAAAGCCACAGTAACACCATCACCTACGTCATACAACAGGTGTGGGGATTAAGGGCAATAAAGCATATAAAGCACAGGGCACAGTTGCTGGTACATAGGACAAGCTCAGAGGTAGTGGCAATAGCCAGAGAAAGAAAAGAAGGAATTTCTGAGAATGAGCCCGCCTGTGATGAGTGTAAAAAGAATAGGCAATCAGCTGACTCCAAAGGGGAAAGGACCAAACTGCTTCCAAGGTAACCATACATAACTCCAAAAATCCAGAAAAGCATAAAACTCAAAAGAGAGATGGCCCATTCACAGACCCATGTCAAATCAGCATGTTCAATAACATGTCAGCCCCTTCTTCAACATCCTCATGCCAAAACTCGCATTGCCTATCCCTGTGATGTGCCAGGCTTTGCAGCACAGAGCTCCACGGAGACAGGGCTGGAGAGTGAGGAGGGAAGAGGGCAGAGCCGGATGCAGATACGTATTTATAATTTATCAGTTAACCTCTCTCTTCACTGCTGCGCAGCGAATCCGGCTTGAGCTGTGAGCCAGTTTCCCGGGCTTGGGTCTCTGACAGCTTTGATTGCATGCAATAGACGAGTGAGCTGTGCTCTCCCCAAAGGTGTGAAGCTGAAAACCCCTTCAGGGCACTGGAGCAAGCCCACCCACTCAGCACCTCTCCTTTTCCTTGCCTACCTGGCAAAAGGTTGGCTGCGGAAGTGAAAATCCAGGGTTACCTCTCTCCACGTTCTCCTTCCAATGGAATGCATTGTCATTCCCGTGTCCTCCCACAGCCCCGGTCCCACCCTTTTTAGCCCATCACCCCCAGTCAGAACATCTCCACTCCCCCAAATGCAGGAAACAAAGATAAAACAGCAATACATGTGTATCCCCCAAATTTCACATTGCATTTCAAGCATTCACCAATCTTCTCCCTTTTCTTATCATCCTTCCCTCACAGATGTTGGCCCCAATTCCAGATGTCCTCAAGGAATAGAAACAACGGTACACCATTTCATATCTCCCCTGTTCCTTCAATACACTGACTTGGGGAGACTCTCAGACTGTCCCACGTTGAAGTAAAATAGTTCTGCATAACTAATCTTTCAGAGTCCCCCGTTCCTGCTAGAAAAAGCATGCCATAATGGATAAGTCCCATCCTGGATTCAGAGGGAGGCAGGCCAACTCGGAATGATCCCCAACCACCAAACATGAAGTGCACTGAAGGGAAATGATAGCACTGGCTTTTTATTTATTTATTTTTTTAGTCGTTGTTAAAAGCACTCAGTTATAGTCTGGACTGTATTCATCAGAATCGACAATTCCCCTTGGAGACATGAATATTTCAGAAGGCAGATTGATAGTTATAATGAGAAAAATAAAATCATCTCTACCTTTACTTCTACCTACAGAAATGAAGTGGAAGGTCCAATTAAGTAGAGGAAGCATGGTGTCCACCATGGAGGCGGTGAAAGAAAGAGAGAGAGAAAGAGAGAGAGAGAAAGAGCAGGGAGAGGAAAACATCAGCACACTGTAGACACACAAAGAAATGTAACATACGCCACAAAAACCCACAACAGTAAAGGCAACAGCACTATCGTATCTTGAGAGAGCAGCCCAAGACAAATGCACAATGTGAAGCCTAATCACCAGCTGTCCCCACCAGCTTCATGTTTAAGCTTTTCCCATTCGTTTCTTCCCAGGCCCGTCCTTAGAAACATGACCAAGTCTGCATGCAAAAGCACTGCATAGCCACATGTATGTGAAACTGCACACACTTTACCGATGTAAACTTGGTTTGGAAAAGTCTCAAAGAAACCCAGTTCTCCGGTATTTTCCCAGTGGTGACCAAGAGTGTCACATACATGTACAAGTGGTGCACACACAACACAGGTATTTCTAGATGTATTTTTCAGGCATCAGAAACCAATTCTGGAGATTCAGTGGGAACCAGACAGAAATCTTTCTTTCGTGGTGAAGGAATAGGAGAAGGAAAGCAGTAGAGGTGGGAAGCAGAGTTGGTTTCTTGGGCAATCATCACAGGGCAAGAACAGAGAAGGGAGTGGAACATGGGGGAACACATGAGAGGTGGGTGATGCAGTCAAAGGACCTTCGTAAAAACAGATTAAACTGCAAGTTGCAACTTAAAAACTTAGAGGCACTGACCACCCAGAAGAATTCTGCATCCTTTCTTGAAAACCTAATGAGGAATTCCCAGTATCTGTCATTCTTTCATTGCTTAAGGACTCTGTTTCTAGAAAGTTCTTGACTTAGCCCAGAGCATGCATACATGGGTGTGTGTGAATTCTCTACTCAGGTACACATCAATGCTGAGGGCCAAGAGAAGCTGAGGAGGGGGTGGGAGAGTGGGGGTGGTATACAATACAGATTCTCCACATGCTGTTCGGACCGATGGGAATGAGCCCTCCAAAATACCTGAGCTGTACCTCTGAAGGGTTACCTGCTGAAAACAGTCAAACCCCCAAGGGCTTCATAGTTACCTGCCGTCGGCAGATAACTTCCCCCACCCTCAGACAAGAATAACGAGGCTTCATCCCAGTCTTTTCCAGAGCTCCATCTAACACTGGCAAACTCACCCGACCTCCTGCCTCCAACTCTTTTTTGACGCTTACTCTATACCAGATTGTATCTTCAATGAAAGTCTCAAGTCCACATCGTGGATCTTGGCTCACGTCTGGGGGATTCAATTCTACTGGGAAGGTATGCTTCCTCCCTACACTTTCTTACCAAGTCAGGACTCCCTCAACTGCCCACTTCCACAACTCCCTGGACATCATAAGCAAACTTCTCTCAGCCCTGGGTGGTTTCTTGATCTGAACATATTCCCCTTTATGGCAACACTGTCTGATAGGTCCAGTGTAAGGGAACAGGGAAGGGGAGCAACACTTTAGGATTGCCCCACCCTCCTCAAAAGATTAAGAAAAACCAGAAAACATAGATGGACCCTGCCTTGCCCTTTTCTTTGGTCCTCCAAAAGAGGTACCAAAGTCCCGTGTGTTTTTTGAAAAGAAACAGACAAGAGAAATTAAAATACAAGCTTTGGGTGTCAGGGCAAGGCAGGTAGACCAATCTTGCAATCATCTCAAGGCTCGGAAGAAACACAATAGTAGCAATTGAACAGTGAAGGAAAAGACAATTTTAAGTAGGCTCAGTTCTCGAATCCTGATTTAGGCTGATGATGTGGAAAATTTTTATTTAGGAGAAAAAGGCTTCATTCACAGCCCACCCTGTGCTTAGCTGAGCTGAATTTCCTGCACAGCTCATTCCCTGCATATTTGAATATTTTAGGTTGCAGATGCTGAATTTACAGATCTTTATATGCAGTTTTCTTCAGGGTGTATAATGAGTTAGAATCCTGCCACGAAGACATTAGCATGTTCTTTCGGTGGTTTTGCTTTTATATAAAACTAAAAACAGTCAAACCCCCAAGGGCTTCCTTTGACCATGTGGGGCTGAAAGTCATTACGATGGGCAGTGGGATGGAGGGGAAGACAAAAAACAAACCTTTACTCAGAGTGACATTCAGGGAGAAGCCCAGCTCCTCTCCCGCAACCACACGGGGCCCCAGCATGGGGACCGGGGAGGAGCAGGAGGAAGTTAACCGCTCTGTTGCTCAGAAATTAGCTTCATTCACCCCCATTATCAATGCCGTCATGCCTTGTTTCATGCTTTTCTCTTGGAGGCAGCCCAGCAGGGCCAGCGCCCGGGATGACAAATGGTGGTGCAAAATGGACAAGCCAAGGGGATGATGGGGACAGGAAACCAAGATGCATCGGGAAAGGTACCCCCCCACCCCAGGGTGGCCCTGCTGCAGGAAGGCCAGGCAGCAGATGGGCTGCCAGCGACAGTGAGGCCCTGAGCGACCAGCCAGAGGCACAAAGGCAAGCAATTCAGGGCAGCTGCAGTGCCACAAGCATGAAGCACCTACCTTGTTCGCTCATCATGAGGTGGGAGAGGCCTTGAGGAAGGAAAAGAGGGGGGACGGGGGTGAGGAGGGGAAGGGGAAGGAAAAAAGAAAGAAGACACAGTTAAAATTCCCAATGCAATGCAATTGTCTCTTAGTTGTCAAGTGCAAGGAGGAGTGGCAGGGCCTTTGCCCATACTCAGGAGCATGCAACCGAGGCTGAGAAGCCAGGCGGCACAGAGGCGGGCCTCCAGTTGAAGGATAGCCTTCTGTTTGCTGGGCTGCTCTGGGCCTCATCATGAGAGCCTTCCTCTCTCCACACTGTTCCACGCGATGCTTAGGATTTGAAATAAAGCTATTAAAGATTAGGTCCCTCGGGAAGGAGACTCAAGAGGCTGGGCCGAGCATGTTTCCTTCTTTCTTTCAAATGGCTTTTTACAGTAATACATGGTCACTGTAGCAACTTTGGAAAATTCAGGAACGAAAAAAGAAAAACCTGTTGTAATCCACCATCCAGAGGTTCCTGCCCAATTTTATTTTCTAGATACTGTATTCTCTTCTCCCAAAATGGAGTCATGCTGGACATACTAAATGAGTTCCTGCTTGCAAGGGCTCCTCAGACAACCTGAGACTACGTCCCCTCTTACCTTTGGCTTAGCCCAGGGACAACCACCACCCCTGCCCTCCATTGCTTCCCCACCACCATTTTGTTTTAGAAGGTCGCTCGCCTTTGATGAGGGAGGCCCAGCCCAGCACTGAATGGGTTAAAGAAGGTACACAAAGTCCCAACAAACAGCACAAACCTCTGGCTCTGTTCTTAAGGAAGTCAAACAAGGCTATTAAGAGCTCATTAATTCAGAGGAAGCATAAGCTCTGATAAATCTATTAAAAGAAAAGATTTCCAACCAGTAACCCACAGCATCAGTTTGCTCTCCCATTGCTTTTATTATTACTGGAGATATCTGACAAACTCCAGATCACCCCAGAGAACCTTTACCCAGAGTGAAATTCAGGGATATACAGGATTAATAAAGGAGAAAAATCTCTGAAGTATAGAAATCCCCAAATGTTTTTGGAGATTACTGGAGATTTAGAAAAGCAATCAGAGGTGAAATATGGGTCAAGCAACTGACTTTTAAAAAGATCAATGAGATATTAAATACATAGATATATGTGCCATAAATGTTGTGGAATCTAGTTTTTAAACAAATTTCATTAAACTATAATCACATTTTAAATGTACATTTCTGGCATTCGTTTCTCGAGGCCCCAGATTAATACTCACAGAGGAATGGAATCATGCCAAAGTAAGTCGTTCTCTTGATTTTAGTTTAAAAAATAATTTTTGGCCTTTTTGGGGAAAAAAATAATAGGGAGAGAGAACAAAGGGTCCTACCTTTGGCTAGGAGAAACCTCGGCAGAAGTCACTATTCCTAAAATGCCTGGTATTTCTGGACCAAGCCAGAGCCTTCGGCATCCAGATCAAGAGCACTAAAGGGGAGAGCCTGGGGCATGCAGGTAGGGCACATGGAAGGGTGACTAATACACAGGAGGGTCGTAAGAATTAAGAAATGAGAATAAGAAGGTCCAAGGAGATACCTAAGAGTAAAAGAAGGGGTTAAAAATGAAAAAAAATGTACCCCTGAGACAAATAATATATGTTAATGTAAATAAATAAATGGGAAAGGAAAGAAAATAATACTGTATTCAAGTTGCTAAGAAAGGACAGCTTAAATGTTCTCACCACAAAAAAGAAATGGTGGTTACATGACCAGATGGAGGTGGGTAACTAATGTTATGGTGGTAATCATTCTGCAGTATTTAAATGTATGAAATCAACATCTTGTACACCTTAAACTTACACCATGTTATTCATCAATTCTATCTACATACAGCTGGGGGGAGGGGGAGTTTACATTTTTTTTTTTCAAATTCAAAAATGAAAGGACAAACATTTCACACTTACAATGAAAGATGTTTAACAGCTCAGAGAAGAAGTAGAAGAGAAGTGGTATAGTCTTTTCTTTTTTTGACTCAGAGATTACAAAAAAATGTGCTGAATGAAGAGTAAACAGGACAATTGGCATAAGGGGTACTGGAGCCCTGGAGAAGGCGCTACAGGTGGGCCCCATCTATGTGCTGCATGTGTTTCTTTAAAGCAGCATTTCCCAAAGTGTATTTCACTGACCACCTACATCAACCACCTGGGGATGCCTATTAAGAAGATCCTGGGCCCCAACCAAGGAATCTAATAAATTAGAATCTTGGGGAGGAGTATGGGGAAAGATCTGAATTTTAAGCAAGTTACCCAAGTGATTCCCATGCTCACTAGAACTTGAGTGGCATATAAATCAAATTTTGGTAAATTAAATTGTATGATGAATGCACTAAGAGGAATTGGATATTTAATGGAACCCGGCAGTGGATCCTTTTGTAAAAGAAGGAATTCTTTTAAAATGCAAATAACCCACCACCTGTGTTTTTTAAATTCAACTATATACTTACCAGGCTTTATTAAGCTACATATGTAGTTGCAGTATTGCAACTCAAATCTTCATATTCTTCAACTTATGAAAATCTTGAATAGAAATATCAGGCCAAGAATGCAGATCTGGGATACTGATGTTAAAACTGGTTTGGCACGCAATGAAGTAAAATGGACAAGAAACCGGATGATGGAAGGGAGAAACTGTGCAACCATAATATGGTTTAAGTTTTGCTTTTGGAGAAGGAAATTCTATTCCACTTTCAAGAGCTTTTACATCAGTATCTTCTCACGTACAAATCTATCCTCAAAGCTTGCAGAATTAAGAGCTGGAACGCAAGAATTCCAGAGTGTCTAGGTCTATTCTGAAATTGTTTCTGTCCCCTTCTATCCCCAGACACTCCTACCTGCTGTTAAAAATTTCAGGCCCTTCCTTCCAAATGAATGGAAGAACCAACAATCAACCAACCAACCGATTCAAGCACCTACTATATGCAAAGACTGGATAAGGTAGTGGAGATACAGACAAGTATGGTAGATGGTCACTAACCTCTAGGAGTTTGGAGTCTAAGTGGGAAGATGTTATGTGTTTATATTTACATAAACATGCATATGATATATATTACTGATACCTGACAGTGAAGTATAGAGGTTAAGATCAAGGACTTCAGAGCCAGATTTGAATCCTACCTTTGTTACTTTCTAGCTTGTGACCCTCAACATCTCTGTGCCTTGATTTCCCTATCTGCAAAATTTGGATAACAACAATGCCAAATTCATAGGTTGTTTTGAGGATTAAATAAGTGAATATACACAAAACTGGGCCTGCACATGATAAGGGCTTTATAAGGATTATTGTTATTTTTTATTATGCTATAAAAATACACTGATGTGTGAGGCAACAACTAGCACAACAGCAAGCACCAAATGACACAGAGTTGGTGCTCAGTAGCTGTTTGGTGACTGAATGAGGAATGAATGAATGGGTCATTACTACATGTCAAATGATGAATTCAGACAATAAAGACCACAGGCCTGTGAGGAGGGCCCTGGATTTACAGGAAAGGTTTTTGGAGGAAAGTGAGATTTGAAATAGATCTTGGAAGATGGTTTAGGATTTAGAGAGATGGAGGACACTCAGGTAACACCGCCAGCTCCCAGGACCACAGAATAAATTTGTAAGGACTTTCCAGTTCAGCTTTTCAGAAGCACCAAGAACACTGCCAGGCACATGGTAGGCATGTAATACATGCTATTCAAATAATAACAAATGCATGTAAACAGTTCATATAAGGAAGAAATGTAAGGTGATCTTAAGGATGAGAGTAGGAACCATTGCATGAAGGCCTTGAATTTCAAGGCTAAGGAAAATGGACTTGATCTTACAGCTGGTGGGACACAGTGAGGGTTCATGGGCAGGGGAATGATCCAGGGAAAATGATGTTGAGGAAGATTGCTTTGGCAATGGTGTGGACCGGACAGATGAGAGGAAAAAGAGACAAAGGCGGAAAGATCAGTCAGAGGCAGAGGGCCTAGATTAGAATCGTGGTAGTGGGGAGAAAAAGGAAGAGGGGATCCAAGAGGTTTTGGGGGACCGATGAGATGCTTCAGAGGAGGAGTAGATGGGAGGCTGAGTGAACACTGTCAGAAATAGGAAGGCAGGGTGGGGTGGGGTCGGGTGGGAGATGAATCGGGGGTGAGGGCAATGATGAGTTCTGTTTTAGGCATAACGAGTTGAGGAAACAGAAGAATCACTCAAGCAAAAATGTCTAAGATGTGTTCTAAAATGTAGGACTAACGTCTGCGAGAAAGTCAGGACAAATATTAGGGTATATCACCGCCCCTTCATGGAAGAAGCTAAGTCAATGAATCCTCCAAGAAAAAGGGGCTAGAGTACTGAGTCTTAACCTGGGCGAGATGGGAGGGGTATTAAGGTATCTTGGAGGTTCTTTCTTTTTTCCCCAACATATTCCACATTAAAATAAAATTTTACATTCAAAAAAGAAAAAGGAACTATATAGCTTTCAAATATAGATACAGAAAATAATGCTCAAAAAATCCTAACTGAGAAGGGTATAATTAGTAAGGGAAAAAAAGGAATCTATGTTGGGTGTGTGTTATCGGTGCGGTTGTTGAGGAAGGGGGAGAAATGAAGATTGGCCTTCTCATTGACCTCAGAAACAGAGGGTCAGCTGCGTAGCCCTCTGGGCTACGCAGCTGGCCCTGGGACTAGCAACTGGCTGGGTTTGGAGTTTGGCATTTATTCTGGTGTGATGTTCAAGAGAAGACATGGCCTGGAACAGGGACTCAGAGAAGCAAAAGGGACAACATCTTTCACAACAATCTCATCATGGGCTCTGGGTTTGAATAGATCCTCAACTCACACTCAGAAGCCAGCTCTATAAAAGTTCACCTAGTGGAGGGTAGGGAATAGGAAATGGGCTTGGATGAGCCTTTGACAGGAAGGATATTGAGAATTGCCAACACTGAATTCCTATGGAACTACAATGCCTTTAAAAAAAATTACCAAAAATTTGAAAGCAAGTGAAGTGTCTCCTATCTAGATGTC